GGTACCAGCAGGGCCCCCACTCATGTTTCAAAAGGACAAGAACCTTTTCGCCGTCATCCTTTTGTAGACGACATTATGGTCCTTTCCTTAATAGCAATTATTGACAAAACATTGCAAATGAACAAATTTAAATGCTAGAACATTTACCATGACCTTATGTTGCTACCTTTCTTATCCAAACCTGGAATCAACTGTATTACTTGATAATAGCTTAAGAGTATGTTAAATTTAACTGCATTTTTCTATCTGAATTATACAATAGCTTAGAGTATGTTAAATGAAAAAAATGCTATAATATATATCTGAAACATGAAGTCATCTTTAAGTGACTAGTATAAGTTGTTTAATGAGTACTGCTCAAGCCTTTGGCCAAACCAATTATTTGACGAATGGGCTTGGCTCTTTAGTATATATAAGTTTTTTGTGACCGAAATAGCGACCAAAATAGTCTGTAGCTATTTCAAGTTTTAAGTGATTGAAATAGCGACCGAAATAGTTCGTAGCTATTTCAAGTTTTTAGCGACCAAAATAGCGACCGAAATAATTCGTAGCTATTTCAAGTTTTTAGCGACCAAAATAGCGACCGAATTTATTCGTAGCTATTTCAAGTTTTTTGCGACTGATTTAGAGACTGATTTTAAAAATGATTTTATTAAATAAATAAAAAAAATTAGCGACGAAAATTGCAACAAAAAAATTCGGTCGCAAAATTGGTCTGGGGAAGTTAGGAGACCAATATTATAGCGATGGATTTTTTCGGTCACTAACTTGCGACGGAAAAAATTTCGATCGCTATTATGAATAGCGACCAGGGTTTTAGCGACGGATTTTTTCGGTCGCTATTTCGGTCGCTGAGCGTAACATCGACTAAAATAACCTAAATAGCGACCAATTTTGGTGGTCGCTAAAACTTGATTTTTCTGTAGTGTCATGTAATTCACATACAATATCATCATCTTTTCATTATTCTCATGTCACACATTATCATCACAAGTACACGTCACATAACTTTATCACAAGCCCAAGTCACTTACATATATCAATTAACACATCAATGTTAGGCACAAATGCTTATAAATTTAACATTGCTAAGCCTTGACTTAAACTTCAAGTCATGTAACCATCACATGGTCCACACATAGCATATCATGTCACCATCACATGGACAAGAACACATCACGTCACCATCACGTATACCTCGATTAACAAGTCTTGATAATTAAGATCAATCTTAAATTACTCACTCAATCCATCATTTAATCATTCTCGAATAATTATTAATATTAGGAATTATAATCCTAAGCCTAGCTACTAAAACACCTCAATTATAATCATTATAAGAACATTCATCACTACTATAATTGTAGAGTATTAACTCAACTATTTCCTTATGGTTACCAATTCCTTGATCATATCGTTAACCTAACCATCCTCATGTTATCCCAAACTCATAAATATAACTCATCTTAAGTAATGGAGGAGATAAAAATGAGAAAAGATAAGGAAAGAAAGAAAAAAAGAAGCAACATCATGTGTCACAACTATGACTTACCATTTAAATTTTCGTCTAAACACTTGAAAAGTCAATTTTTATACTTATGTTTTTTCTTTTTCACAAACTCATTTTATTATTAAAATACATGAAGTTTTGTACAACAAACCAAGCAATGTAAATCCTTTTACCTTAAGTATATGCGAGCTTAATTTGTTATTACATTCCCTATTTTATAATTATATTTTATTAAAACACTTTGAGGTTAAATAGTGTCACACTTTTAGTCCCTTTAAATACATTTTTGGTTCTTCAATTTTTTATTTATTAAATTCTACAAATAAAACCATTAAGGTTAGTCCTTATTTACTATAATAACAATGTTAAGCCAATCCCTTTAAAAGTGTAATTAAGGACATACTTCAACATATTTTATTTTTAGAGGGACTAATTTTACTATCTTGTATAGGCTACAACTAGGGGTGAGCAACGGGTGGGTTTGGTCGGGTTCGGGTGAAAAATGTCCAACCCGTTGTAAACCGACTTTGAAAAAATGTGACCCATATCCGACCGACTGAGCTTTCGATTTGAGGCGGTTCGGGTTGAAACGGATTCGGATTTAAGCGGGTGGGTATAATCGGGTTTGAATTTTTTTGTAGACCAATTTATCTTAACGAAGATGAAACTTAAAACGATAAAAAATATTTTTAAAATAGTGTATAAAAATAGAATGAAGGTGACAATAGATGGTGTAAATAGATTCGTAGTTGAAACATTTACAAACTAAAGAAGCAAAAATAAAAGATAACAAAATTCATAGTTGTTACATGGAAAAGAAATATAAAGTTAGATTACAAAATCATAAGAAATCACAGTCACACAAAATGTACTCAAAATGGAGATAAGAAGATGAAAAAGAAAGACAAAGAAAGAAGCAAAAAGATAACTCTAAAAATGGACTAGTGTGTTGAGAAGTTTAATGAGGAAGGAGAAGACAAAATAAATATCTAAGTTATGAGAAAAAGGAAAAAAATAAGTTACAAATTGATGGCTATATTATAGTTGAAATAAAGACTTTTAAATTTGGACCATTGTTGTTTAGTTATACAAAAGTAATAAAAATTTAAACTTATCTCATTTTCGGTTGGGTTCGGTTTTTAGCGGATTTAAAAATTCAAAACCGAACCCGCCCAATATAACCCGTATAAAATCAAAATTTTAACCCGATTTACCCATAAAACCCGCCCGAACCCACCCAAAAACAATATTTTTTTTTGGGTTTTTCGGGTTCGGTTCGGGTGTCGGTTTAATGCTCACCCCTAGCTACAACATAACCCTGGCTATTGTATCTAGTTATCCATCAGATTAACAAAGACAACTAATAATAGATGCAAGTGAAGTAATTAAGAACTCATGCTACATGTGAGGATCTCCTTCCAATCCACGAACCTTCCATACTCTTGAAGGCTTTTTCAATGTCTCTCTTGTGTCTTCGAAGCAAAATGATTAAAAGATGTCTAAATTTCTTTTATCTCATCCTTTTATAGGCCCAAATGGGAATTAGGATACAACAAAGAAGTACAGTCATGTTTCGCTTAGTAGGAGGTGCTCTCAATCCAAAGCAAAAATCTCCAAAGACAAACATGGTTGTAATTAATTTAGCATGGTTGTGCTCACTTTAATTAGCCCAAACGTACTCAACTTAGAATTGGCATGCCCAATCCTTAAGATGGTTTTGGCCTTGCAAAATCAAGCATAGTTGTGCTAAGTGACACATAACCACATGCTGCTTGAGTAGAAGAGTTATAATCTTTTTTTTCTTCAAAATTTCTGAAAAATGTTTATTTTATTTTACTTTCCTAAGCCTTCATATATGTGTAAACTTTGGGAGAAAAAATGAGATTTGAACAAAAATAACATATAAATGAAGCAGTTTGATTCCCCCAAGCTCTCCAAGAAACATGCCACAATGGTGATTTATTAGATTTTAACGTGAGTGTGGGAGTTTCTATGTGGTTGCCACTAAATTTCCCTTCTACCACTTTTGTTTTCTCGTCGTGTTCCACTCTTTGCACCATTCACTAGAAATTGTCATTGTTGTGTCAAGAATTCACGCTTGTTTGATCTTTAATTTATTTATTTTTCATTTCAATTTGGTCTTTGTTTTCTTAAGTGATAATGTGACTAATGAAGCTTGAAATTAAAATAGAGTTGATGTTTCTTGAACAATAGAGAACAAAATTAAAGTCTACTGACATCAGAGGGTCTTATATAAAATGTTTACAATTTTTTAGAGGCCGGCTAACATAGACTAAAGTGAAAAAAGTAAAATTATAAGAACCAAAATAAGAATATTTAGAGAACCAACACAAAATACAACCCTATATATAGCCAATGTAAAAATATTTAACCTATTATTTAAAGAAATTTTCTCCTCTTTTTAATTATTTTAAATTAAAAATATTAAATAACACATAAATATTGAATATTAAGCAAGGAACCCAAAAGTGTTTTAATATTTTTATGTAAACATTTAAAAAATATCAAGACAATCGATCAATAATAGAATATAACAATTAGTTATTATTAATTATTTGAGCCTCGAAAAATAAAAAGGAATTATTCTTTAAGGTTTTTTTTTTTAAAAAAAGGGAAAAATAATAGCTCTACCTGTCCTTGTTTACCAATTCCTCCCGTTTTTAGTTGTTTATATACATAGATGGACTACTTAATGGTTTAAAACTTAGACTTGGAAAATTGATTTGTTAGTTTGTGGGATATTGGTTTAACTATTACCTGAACATTGAGATTACTATACCAACTTGTCTAGTTACATTATTCATCAATCTAGTATAATAACTTTGGGATTGGTACACATTTTCCGAATTCTTCTATTATATGTATTATGTCCATTCTTAATTACGTATCCGAAAGCAACCATTGTTTTTAAATGTAAAATGTCACTAGATTTATCATTATCTAAATGGGAAAGCTTTCGGTTAATATACGTCATTTCTTCATGGTTTTCTAAATGCATGCTTTGTATTCTTAATGAATTTTATTTTCTTACAAAAGAAAAAAGAATAAATTTTCTTGGAAATTAAAATATTAGCTTAAATAGGTCAGGCATTAATGAATTTTATTTTATTTATTTGTTATATATCAAGGTATTTTCTAATCGAAATTACCCAAGTGCTTACTCAAAATCACTTTCCATCTATCTTTCGACAGCTAATAAGTTTAAATTTTAATCTCAAGTCAAATTCTTGTTCATAACTACCGCATGTTTGTATTGAAGTAATATTTAAATCGGACATGTTCGTTGAAATAGACCATAATGTTATATTAAAATTGAGTACATATTAATGAAGGTTTTTATGTTGTTTGTAAGCCCTAAGATGTACTAAATTAAACCAATACCTACCCAACAGTTGTCATAATACTACCTACTATATAGAGACAGTGAGCAACTAACATAATTTCATTGACACACAACACTGTCCTTCATTCAATCATCAATTCTGTATCCATCTCATTCCTACTTTTGTTAACTAATAAAAGCAGAAGATAGGTACATTTTCTCTGAGTTATCAATTTCTCTTTAGTTAGCTTGAGTTTGTGCTAAAAACACACCATGATGAGGCTTGGCCTGTTCATGGTTTTCTTATCTTCCTTGTTATATGCTATTAATGCATTGAACACTGAAGGGGTGGCTCTACTATCACTCATGAGGCATTGGACATTTGTGCCTCCATCCATAGACATGAGTTGGAATGCTTCTGATTCTACTCCATGCTCTTGGTTAGGAATTCATTGCGATAATAACCACAATGCAGTCTTTCTTAACCTCTCTGGATACTCAATTTCAGGTCTATTAGGACCTGAAATAGCACACTTGAGTCACTTGCAAACACTTGACTTGTCCTCTAACAATCTCTCAGGGAAAATACCTCCTGAGTTAGGAAATTGTAGTCTGCTTCAATATGTAGACCTTTCTTATAACAATATTGCTGGAGAAATACCGGATAGTTTGAGAAACTTGCTGAATTTAGTGTCTTTTGGCTTTATGTACAATATGCTAACTGGTCAAATTCCTGAGTTCTTGTTTCAACTTCAACACTTGGAAGATCTTCTCTTGAACCAAAACCATTTGTCTGGCCCCATTCCAATGAATGTTGGAAACGGGACAAAAATTTTGAGCCTGTATCTAGATAATAATCAGTTGTCAGGAAGAATCCCCCCGTCCATTGGAAACTGCAGTAACTTAGTGCAGTTGTATTTGGAAGAAAACCAATTGCATGGAGTTCTACCTGAAAGTCTTACCAATCTCAAAAGTGTTGTTAAGATAGGTGTCCAAAATAATAGACTTGAGGGTACTATTCCATTATTTGGTTCTGCCAGATGCAAAGGTTTATATTATTTGGACTTGTCATTCAATAAATTTAGTGGGGTCATACCTTCAAGTTTGGGAAATTGCAGTGGATTAACAGAATTTTATGCTCCCAACAATAATTTAGGAGGTAGAATCCCATCATCCTTGGGTCAACTAAGTGAACTTTCTGTTCTTCGCCTTGACACCAATCATTTGTCTGGACAAATACCTTTGGAACTTGGTAATTGTAGGTCCTTAAATGTGTTGGGGTTAAATGAAAATGAACTTGAGGGAGAGATTCCAAGTGAATTAGGAAAGCTAAGTAAATTGCAAGATCTTAGATTGAATAACAACCATTTGAGAGGTGGAATTCCACTGAGTCTTTGGAAAATTTCTAGCCTTGAGAATGTGAATGTGCATTACAATAACCTTTCTGGGGAACTACCTTTGGAATTGACAGAACTCAAACAACTGAAAAATATCACATTGTATAACAACCAATTTACTGGGGTTATTCCTCAAAACTTAGGAATCAATACCAGTTTAGTGCTGTTTGATGTCTCATATAATCACTTCACTGGCACCATACCACCTAATCTTTGCTTTGGACAACAATTAGATAGGTTACTCCTAGTTTCAAATCAATTTCAAGGTGGCATACCTATTGACATAGGGAAATGTACAACTCTTACTAGGTTACGTCTTGATGTTAATAACTTAGCAGGAACTCTACCTGATTTTGAAAGCACTAGCAGTCTCTCCTACATGAACATCAGTGAGAACAAGATCAGTGGACCAATTCCATCAAGTTTGGGAAAGTTCACAAATCTTACTGATGTTGATTTGTCCAACAACAAATTTTCAGGGCACATACCGTCTGAGCTAGGGAGCCTTGTGATTCTTCAGAGGCTGAACCTTTCTCACAACAAGTTGGAAGGTCCTTTGCCACCTGAGCTGTCAAATTGTCACAAAATGGCAGTGTTTGATGCTGGATTCAATTCTCTCAATGGCTCATTGCCATCAAGTTTGAGAAATTGGACAAGGTTAGTTACATTGAATTTAAGAGAAAATCGTTTTACTGGTGGTATCCCAACTTTCTTATCAGAATTTAAGTACCTTTCTGATCTACATCTTGGGGGAAACAATTTTGGAGGCCAAATTCCTAGAACAATTGGTGATTTTCAGAATCTTTTTTATGGATTAAATCTAAGTGCTAATGAGTTGACAGGTGAAATTCCTCCAGAGATTGGGAAACTGAAATTGCTGCAAAGCCTGGATATTTCTCTTAACAATCTGACTGGAAAAATTGATGTTCTTGAAGATCTCTCTTCATTGGTTGCACTCAATATTTCATACAATTCCTTTTATGGTCCTCTTCCAGACAGACTAGTGAACTTGCTCAATTCTTCTCCATCATCATTCTTGGCCAATCCTGGCTTATGTGTTAGATGTTTTCCATTATATGGGCTTCAATGTTCCAAAAATAACACCTTGAAGCCATGTGATGAGAACAATTCCACACATCCAAAGGGGCTGAGTAAAGTTAAAGTTGTGATGATAGCACTTGGATCCACACTAGTTGTAACATTTCTGTTACTTGGTCTTGTTTATGTTCTACACTACAAGCAAGATGTCAAGATTTTCCCTAAACAAAATTCATCTTTCCTCAAAAAAGTGATGAACGTTACAGAGAACCTAAATGATAGGCATATCATTGGAAGAGGAGCACATGGAGTTATCTACAAAGTTGAGTTCAGTTCAGACGAAGTTTTTGCCATAAAGAAAGTCCCCTTTGCGGATAACAAAGGTCAAATCACAAGCATGAGCAGAGAGATTGAAACCGCTGGGAAGATTAAGCATCGAAATTTGTTAACAATAAAAAAGTTTTGGTTAAGAAAGGACTGTGGTCTAATTCTATACAAGTACATGGAAAATGGAAGTCTCCATGATGTTTTGCATGAGAAGTACCCACCACCATCTTTAGAGTGGAGTGTCCGCTATAAGATTGCTATTGGAATTGCACACGGACTTGAATATCTCCATCACGATTCTGATCCTTTCATAGTGCACAGAGACATTAAACCAAAGAATATACTTTTGGATTCTGATATGGAGCCTCATATTGCTGATTTTGGCATTGCCACACTTCTAGACCATTCACATACTTCATTGCAATCTTTATGTGTTCCTGGTACAGTTGGGTACATTGCTCCAGGTAACTCTTCTAGCTCTAGTCTTTTAGGACATAAACTACTTCTTAAACACTTCTACTAGAAAAAAAAAGTATGAAGAAAAATTTAAATAAACTTCTCCTTAAGCTAAAATTAGATTATGCATAAAATTTAAAAAAGTTAATAAGAGAGAACTTTTACAAATTATCTTGTGTATAAGTTAATTTTAGCTTATAGATAAGTTTAATTAATTTTTCCTTCATATTTTTCTCTTTTAGAAGTAGTTATGGAGAAGTTTACTCAAAATCTTAGTTCATTATTTATACTATAATTTTTTTTTTCTTTTTTAAATATAAATTCTTGTATGGAATAACACATTTTTACTTTGATATGTTTCAGAGAATGCTTATTCAACAGTGATGAGTAGGAAGTCTGATGTGTATAGTTATGGAGTGGTTTTGCTAGAGCTGATAAGCAGAAAGATGGTGCTAGATGATCCTTCATTTATGGAAGAAACAGATCTTGTGGGGTGGGTTAAATCAATGTGGGAAAACACAAGAAGCATTAATGGAATTGTTGATTCGAGCCTTGCAGAGGAATTTTTGGCTTCAGAGGTGAGGAAGCAAGTTGAACAAGTACTTTTGGTGGCATTGAGATGTATTGAGAAGCATCCAAGTGAGAGACCAACAATGAGAGAAGTCGTCAAGGACTTGATTGTTGGATGCAAATGCAGTGAATGAATTCAGAAAAATACTTATTAGATCTTTGTGTACAGTTGCGTTAAGTACTTGTTAAAAAATCTTTTTATGTTATCCAAAACCTTATTTTTCTTCTGGACTATTTAAAATCCAACATTTAATACCATAAAGTATTGTAAGATAAAACTTTCCTTTCAGTAGATACCTTAAGTTCACAAATAAATAACCCATATGATGCTTATTATTGTTAAACTACATTAGTTAATGAAAATGTAATAAAAGATAGGCTTGAAGTATTGATTTTTTTTAATAATTATATTATTGGGATTTATCCTCCTATTCCACTTATCCTTTATTCAGCTAATTCAAATTTGAGATCTCAAGAGACTTGATTTCATCATTGTTCGAATATACAATTTATTTAATTTAAGTATTAAATATTTAAATACTAATAAAAATAAAAATATTATTTTTATTCCTATTTATAAGACTCAAATTAGAACAATGATTTATCCTTTTATATATATAAGATATGATTCATTGTGTTTCATATATTAATTATTTTATATTAAAATATCGTCACCTAATTGTTTTAGGTTCTCTTAATTTAGAGGAATAAATTAATTATAAATTTTTTAAAAAAATATGCACTCTAATTGGCTAGGAGAGAAAATCCAATTAATTTGGGGAGAAAAGTAATATAGGGCTTGCACTCTATTTGGTTAAGAGAAATGAGTATGTATTAGGAGAAAAAGTAGTCTAAGGATAGTTTTGGGCCGGTGCTTCCTGCTCGGCAACTCCCTCATTCACCTGTTCTTCATTATTAGGTCCGGCCTGGTGGCGAACAGGAGCTTCAGCGTCCGGTTGTTCATTCGGGGGGATTTGCGTCAAATTGACATACTCCCCCGATAGAAATCCATCGACATATCAAACTGGAAGTCCGAAGAAAGGCTTCCAAAATGTCGGGTCTGTCGTGCCGCTTGCGCGAAGCCGGCCTCGTGTTGAGAGAGAACCTTGCTCCTAGCCCTCTCTATATATGCGCCGAAACACTTCTTCTCGGCCTCCAATTCTCCCGCCAGCTTGGCCGATCTCTCGGCCTCGACCTTCAAAGAATTTTCCAAATGCTGCACTTTCAATGCCAGGTCATCATTAATGCGGCCCCGACGATCCATCTCGGCCTCCAATTTTTTGCTGGTAGCTTGCGCCTCCGACAAAGCAGCAAAAGCTTCTTGCACGGACTTTTCCGATTCAGAAAGCTATCGGCGAAGATCCTCGGTCTCGGCACTCACTGCATCATAATGCTTTGAGCCAAAGCCAAGGACCGAGCTTGGAACTCGCAGAAGAAGGTCCACTTATGGGTCGTGCTCATCTGTCCCAGCATCGTCTGCCCCAACTCCGAAGTCAGGTCTTGGCTCAGATAATCCAGAGCACTCACATTAGAGGCCAAGAAACTTGGACTCACCAACCCCTGAGAAGCCACGAGTATCGGCAACCTCTACTGTTTCTGCTTCCGAGCTTCGGCCTCGGCCCTTGCCTCGTAGGCTTTTCTCTTAACAACCCTCGCCTTGTGAGCGTCCTGGGTATTCTTTCCCTTCGGCTGTGGCTAGGGTCGGTCCGTCTCTCAGATCGAAGCCCGATTCTCCCCCTGCACAGTCGGCACCGGCGTAGCAGCTCGGCCCCAGATCAAATTGCAGATGTCCAAGTCATCACTCCCGCAGCTCGTCATGATACCTGCACAAAAATTAGTCAAAATCAATGACGACACATGAATTTAAACATAAGAAAGATGCTATACCAATTAAAGTCTCAATCGGTCGCGGCGATTTCATAAGCCAAACTAATTCTCGGCACGGCAAGGGCCGAGGCAGCTTCTCTAACACGGCCAAATCAGCTCGCTCCTCAGGAGACATCTTAGACTTGGACACCACGTCATACTTCCTCGACATCCGAGTCCAGTACAAAGGAAATAATGCTTTCCCCTTGTCATCAAAAAAGTATTTGTTTAACGGTGCTGGGCCGGATCATCACCTTGAAGAATCCTACTTTAAATCCTTTGTAGGACGTAGTAAATGGCTGAAGTAAACAATGTTCCGCTTGGAACAAAGATAGCCACTTCGCCTTCTTTGTTGGTCGAGAGGCATAGTAATATAGGAACAGGTGGGGAGTCGGCTTGATGCGAAGTGCTATACACAATTGCCGAAACCCCTGCATCGCGGCCCAACTGTTAGGATGAAGTTGTGTCGGCGCGACGTTAAGCAACCGAAGTACGCCCGCGAAAAACTTATCAAAAGGGAGAGCAACCCCCAAATCCCTAAACAGATAGTCATATACAAAAAAGAAGTTGTATTTACACTTCTCTCGGCCAAGAAAGAAAAAATCAGAATCCTATGATCCATCATTTCGGCACAGCTCGAAGAAGAAACCGGACGGCACCTCATCCTCCGGAAGTGTGACAAAATTCTCGGCGTTGAACAGCAATGCAATCGAACTCTTATCAATGTAGCGAGAAAATACGCTACCCACCTCTCCGTGCACCCACCTATAGCCGGGAACTTCTATAGGGCCGAAGTGGCGAGAGGCTGAGCTGACTTTACGAGTACTCGGCCGACCTTCAATCATTTCAAGAGAAGAAGCCTCTTCCACACTTTGCGAATGTTCAAACCCCTCAACGATTTCAACACTAGCCGATCTATTCGATGCCGAAGCCGAAACATCACGCTGGTCCAGAGACTCACGCGAGCCCATATCGGCAGATCCACTCCCGTTATCTCCGGAGGAGCCAACTTGTGAAACCCTATCATCCACATCCCTGTCAAAATCAGCCATGGGAAACGTACCTTTAAGTGAAGTCGGTCTAGGTTGGTAGTTGGTGGTGAAGGATGATCTTCGCGTCGGCTCGGAGCAAAGGAAACTAGAATGAGTAAACGTGGCGAATTGGTCCCCACCACCTCTATTTATAGCGTCCTCAAGGGACGCATGCCAACCGCCACACCCCTATGAACCGTTAGATCAACCTGATCCAACGGTTCACAAGCCACAACTTTTCAAATGCCCCATCATTAATGTCCAACGGTTATCAACCCAACGGTTATAACCCTTAACGTTCCCACTATCAATGCCCAACGGTTACAAACCCTTCACGTTCCCATTATCAATGCCTAACGGCTACGAACTCAACCGCCACAACTACAACATCATACTTACCCTTTACGTCGTTTCACTCCTCAAGGCTAGGGGGCTTGTGTATCGAAAGGGTCCTATCGGCCACGTGGACCGGCACGTCATGTCCTATCAGATATTGACGCAGCTCGGACACCACTTCGACTCGGCAAGAGACCGAGAACCGTACCCTTTCCCTATCGGCTCGGCCAAAAGCCGAAGATGAAGAGGATGTCTCGGCCATTCCATATCGGCTCGGCCAAAGATCAACAGAGTCGGAATAATCAGGATGACGATCATGATTAACAAGGGAGAACACGTAATTAAGGCATAACCAGCCGATTAACATCGTATTACCTAATTTGGTAAATGTCAGAGAAGGCCCACCACGTTTAGGCCCATGACAGGTAGTATAAATAAGTCACACGTAACGAGGTATGTCACTGTTCATTTATTACTCTTGAGAATCGTGTTTGTCCTGACTTAAGCGTCGGAGTGCCTTTTGCAGGTACCTCCCCCCTCTGAAGCATCAACCTGAAGCTCTCATTCAGCCCTCCAGTTACTAGAAGATTACGAGTGTATCCTTAGACAGGTACACATAATACTTTTAAAAATTAAAATAAATTTTGTAACAAATGATGTAATATTTTAAAAAAATTTAAAAAGTATATAAAATTATATTAAATATCAAAAATATTAATTTTAATGTTATAAAATTAAATTTGCTATTATATATAAATATTTAGATTTATTAATAGTAATTTTAGAAAATTTATTTTAGCTTTTAAAAAACTATACATTTCAGAAAATTTTAATAGTGGAGTAAACAATTTTTTAAAAAATTGATTTCAATTTTTGAAAATTAAAAAGAAAATGAAAAAAACGGGAGGGAGAGAGTTGTGTTTGTAATCACAACTTCCATTTTTATAATATTCATCTTCCAAATTATAAATTTTTTATTTTTTATTTATTTAAAAAAAATAGTGAAGTCATGTTTAATAATAGTATTTTAAAATTGGAATCATGACTACAAACTACGACTTCTTCTCCCCTTTTTTCATATATTGAAAATCAATTTTTTTAAAAATTGTTTACTATTATAAATTTTCTAAAATATATAATTTTTTAAAAACTAAAATAAATTTTCTAAAATAACTATTAATAAAATCTAAATATTTATACATAATAGTAAATTTAATTTTATAATATTTAATTTAATTTGGTAACATTTAAACTAATATTCTTGATATTTAATATAATTTTATATACTTTTTAATTTTTTAAAGTACTATTTTAAAATGGAGAAGTCATGTTTTCAAATACGATTTTTATCCTAAATTTTGTGTTAAACAAATAGGACTTATCCATTTCTAGAACATTTTTAAAATTTATTCATTACGAAAATTTTAAAATAAAACTACATCATCGGTCTAAAAAAAATCGATTAACTGATATATTTATTATTTAATATAATATATTAAATACGAATAATCATCTTATTCAAAAATATTTTTAAGAGAATTACAACGAGAATGTTTATAAAGATTCTTTAAACTATTATATAATTAATTTGTTTATTTATCTAATTCTTTTAACATATAAATTATATTGCTCAAGTATTTAATATTTTTATTAAAAATTATTAATATTTAAAAATAACATTCTTTCATAATTTAAATTAGTTATCATAAATCTAAAATATTATATGTTTCAAAATATTTATTTATACAAAATTTAAATATAATTTAGATATTTAACAATATTATTTATTTGTCTAAATAATTTATCATAAACTTTTCCTATATATAATAAACATTTATCTTAAAAAATGTACTGCTTGAAATATTAGTTATATATAATTTATTTTTATGATTTTTAATTTAATTTAAATATTTTTTAAGTATATACAAATATATTTTTGTATTATTTTAGTCCTTGCAAATTTTTTGTGACTTTTAGATTCTTGATATTTTCTTAATTACTATCTTTTTATTATTTAGTTTAATGCTAAAAAAAC